CGGAGGTTGACGAATTGACCAAGCAATGTATAAACTTACTTATGTAGTGTTTTACTTGACAATGATGTAGGAAGGTAAAATGACTGCTAATAACAAAATATAGGGTTTTTAATTATTAAAAAATCATTGTCTATGAATTACGTATCAGTACGTTTACGTCAAGGTATTTTTCTGCTATTTTTGACGCATAGAGGTTAATTATATAGTGTTTGCATTGCAAACTTAAAAATTACAATTTTAAAGTTAATGAGTCCGACGAAGTTTCGAGAAACATCTGTTTTTAGAAACAATGTGAACAAAGGGCCATCACCAATGACAACTTAATTCCTAATTATAAACGCGTTTTAAATCCCTTCAAGACGCTTATTCAACTATTCAGTTTGCGCGGGTAATTTTCCTCTTAGAAAAACAGCAAATCAATTTTTCACTAGAGCAAAAAAAAATTGACAAACGCATTATAAAAAAGGCTGAATGATAATAATAATAATGAAATAGTTTTTTGTTGTTTTTGCTCATTTGTTGGCTACGCATGTGAGGCATCAATGCTATGATATATAACAATTCTAGAAGGAGTATTTTTGAGAATTACGAAGAGCTTAGAAAACCCGAGAAAAATACGCAACCCCAGTTGTCAATGAATTATCAAACTGCATCAAGTATCATTTTAGCAGATTCGACTTGAAAAACATCTCGCAAAGCAAGCCAGCGCAAGACTAAACTGAATTCAAAACTTTTGGACAAAAGGCTTTGCGCATACAATTTGTTTTTAATTGATGTGCTCTTCTTACCTTTTTTCTTTTATTGTATTTTTTTTCAATGTCATACTTTTTTCAAGAGAAATTTTTTTGGGACAAAAAGAACACTGAGAGCCTACATCTTATTAGGGGTACTGGAATCACAAAAGCATCTTTTCTTTGTCGAGGACACTCTTGCGGTAATGCTATGACACTGATTTCAAGCAGAAAGTAGCTAATTTCGTTTTAAATTTTACTTAACTAGTGTCTTAAGGTACTGCAATTGTTTAATTTAAAAAGCATAGACCTATACATTCTTTATGGGGATAAAAAAAATGTCCATGAAAAATAAAACAAGACTCACCTTTTCAGTAGCTTTTGGATTCTTTTAACGAATTTATTACGTTTCAGATGATATAGTTACGTTGTCTTTGCGAAAGGGCTTGTTGTATTTTTCTTCTTAGTTGAATGATTTGATTGCTTGTGACAGCATTGTGTTAATGTGTCAAAGGTACAAAGACATTCTCACGATCAACAAACAATACAAAACATTCTAGATAAAATATTAAATAAAAAGCTTAGTAATACGTTCCCTGGAATTTTTGGGTCTGGGAAAACTGTGTTATGTCTAAGGCTAAAAGTTACTTTCGCTCTCACTGTAGGTTTTTTTTCCACTATTATTTCGTAGAGATGTTCGTTTGCGTCATTTGTGGCCAAGAGCCAGCAAAGCCACACCTGCCAGTCATACTGTTCTTTTGTCTTGCCTATTTGAAACAAACAGTAAATAATGTCGTGGTATGGCTACAAATTAAAGTGCAGTGAGAAAGTGCATAAAAAGTGGAAATAAGCACGCAATTGGTGTACTCGATAATCAGAAAATAAAAGAAGGCAAAATTAAAATTACACATAATTCTCACAATGTTAGAGGATATGTTCAAGTAACATAGTGCTCTTTTTCACTAACCAGTCACTTGTTTTACAAATTAAATAAAAATTTCAGCAGAGTCAGTGTCTAAAGGTTTGTCCACGCGAAAGATCATGCCCACTTAGCTTGAGAAAGCAGATCAAGGAATCCAACAGTCAAGTATTCTGTATTTATTATTATAATATTACAGTATCTTTCAAACTGTGCACATACAGCTCTGATGGGTTAATGTTAACAAAAGTATTTACATGAAGTGTAATTAATTCCACATTAGCCGGGTCCTTGTTTTTTCGAAAAATGACTTTTCTCGGCGTTATATTTCATACGTTACTCTGAGGTAAAGAGAAATAGGGAGCAGATATGTTTGTGGTTTAAGCTTAGAAAAAGCTCAACAGTAATTAAAATTAAAAATGGTCCCCTGCTGGAGTTTCATATAATGACCATGGTGTGTCATGCTTAGAGACTTAGTCTCCTAAAAGGTGGGTGCCTTTTTTCCAATTAAGTGTGCGAGATAACAGGGCGGACAAATGACTACGAACCTATAATCCTGCTGTAAGATATCACTGTGAAGAGATGTTCTATCAGCTAACACAGCAGTTTTTGTAAAAATGTAAGGATTCGACCCTTCTTTTGCTAAGCCTCATGTTTAAAACTGCATTAGGTTGTTTGTTCTTTTTCGCCAGTTATCTGTACAACTCAGAGAATTCTAGCAGCAGGCTTCAAATTAGCCAATGACCGCAGCAATTAACACAAAAGTGCATCACCCTGTGAGGAGCTAAAAATTCTAATATGTATCCTTCTGAGGGGCGTTGCACTTACAAGCCAAGGAATTTGTATATGAGGATCATTTTCTACTGATTACATTTTATTTCTTTAAGGCTCATCCTAATCTAAAATGACCGTCTGCCTTTGTTTAAGGAGGTTCATTGTACATTGTAAAATTATCTGTTCGCTCTTTGAAGTGCCGAGTTTTCGCATATAGAAATTGTGCAATTGAAGTTTCTCTCTAATTGACCACGTACCCCTCACCTTAGTCAACATTAAAACTTGCTTCTCAGTTATTGAAAAATTGTAACTTAAGGGAGGGGTAGGTGGTCAGTTACTCAGAAACTTCAATTGATCTCATTACTTTATGGCGATCCAAAGCATCTGGGGTGAAAGGGTTGATGAAATGTGTGGGGCCTTAAAAAACATTACTACACATTGCAGCCAGGTTCTGAAGGGGGTTCGTTAACTTGTTTTTGAAAGAAACAACAATTACCAGATAAGAACTTTATTATCAAACTCCATGTAAGTTTACCAACTTTACTTAGATGTTCCATTTTGAATTTTGTCTTTTAAAAGAATATCGTTTTCATGGTTTCGTGTTTTTTACAATTTTAGATCACTTTTTGAGTAGTAGTCACTTCAATGGTCCTTTTCACCACTCGTAATTCTCTATAGTAACACGGTACAAATTTTACGTTGCCTTTAATAGAAAATGATAAAGATTAACGTGAAAAAAATCCAAGTGATCGGTAAAAGCAAGTAACATGCTTTGATTAATTAATATATATATCTATATCTTGCAGCTCGATGGCAATTACACTTCACGTTTTTTAATGCTTGCATTTTTTTCCCAGTGACTATGACCAGGTACTGTCTCCTTGTGGGTGTAAACTTTTCTTCTGTATAACACCTGCAAGAGGAAAATTGGGTAAAATTGAAAATTATGCAGCTGGATCTAAACATCACTGGACTCATTAACTTTTTTACGACAGTGAATCCTGTTTATGTGATTTCTGACTTTCGTTTGGGAATAAGTTTCGTTGCTTGATGAAGTTCGTATTGCATTCACATGATAAAATCGAGCGGCTACCGTAAAGCGTTCTTGCCCGCGTTGTTTTCGCGTCAGACCAGATACTCATGCGCCACTCGCCCTAGATTACACGATTTGTGATTTTCAATCCGAAGCGAACCTTTTGAAAGCAGGAATGAACCTATTCCGAAATGACTTGTACGAGAACGAAATGTTGTTTCGGTATCATGTAACAAACAGATAAATACATGGAGATGGAATGAGCTCGTTCCGAATTAAAGTCATTCCGGTATCATGTGGATAGCCGCTAAGAATGGGAGAAGGGAATCTGGTCTCACAGCATTTGGACAAGAAGGGGCTCGCAGGTGTTACACGCCTCAAGGTGGGGGTATCACTTCTTCTGCACATGCACACCATAATTTTCCCCTGGCAACTGGTATAAAACCTTGAGAGTGTAATGCCAAAAGGTGGTTAATAACGAAATATTGCTCAGTAATACTTTTATGTATACTCACAAGGAAAATAACAAGAATCACAAGAATGATAAAGAGAACCACTCCAGTAATAATCAAAATGATTTCCCACGTCGCCAGCTGTGAAGATGAATCTGCTGAAAAAGAAAAAACTGCTTCGATACAACAGTTATCAGTGTGGCCTAAGAATACAGCGGTCTCTCATCGTTCCGCGTCACGAGCAGGTCGTTTCCCGGGAGAGATGACCACAGTTCTCCTATAGCAACCATGTCATAACGATACTTTGTCGCAATCATCGATGAATATATTTTGCAATTTATAATTTTTTCCCTGTCTTCCTCTCTTCACATCCACTTATGGTATTTCTTATTTACTTCGGCTTTTCCAGTGACCCGACAAACGCAATCAAATGTAAATACTGACGCTGCCCGTGTTTTAATGATTATGAGCGAAAGTTCTTAAACGTATAATTAAGTAAAAAAATCATACAATGTACGATAAAGCTAAATTAAAGATTTTTAAGATATTTTTATCACAGGAGGCCAAGGCCATACAGACAAGCCGTCAAATTTTAAAAAAGAATGCATTAATGCTGTCTTTTGGCCCTGTTCCAGCTAAAACGACTTCCCTTGTACCTGTGTTGGGTCCAACTGTTTGTTGAGGAATCAATAGAGTACTAAAGTGATGACGTCATCCGAGATCGTAGCCCAGTTATACTCAGAAATCTCCATACAAACCCTTCTAATTTTTTTTTGGGTCGACCCCAAAAAAATTTAGAAGGGTTTGTATGGAGTTTTGTAAGCATAACTGGGCTACGATCTCAGTAACAATTTGCCCCCAAATGCTCATTTTTGGCAAGTAGGCCTCTTGGACATTGTTCTTTCAGAATATCCTGACAAATCCCATAATTTCGGAAATTTCATTTTTATGACGTCACACTTTAGTACTCTATTACCCCTTTTAAAATTCACTTGCACCAGTCTCAACTGAAATGATACTGCAAGCGATTTAGTATCAGCAAATGACAGGTGTTTATTAAGTGTCAAGTACAGCTCAACAGTGAAGGAGAGTCAGAACAAACCTGTCGGGGTTTCTGAGGGCGTATTCATATTTCCTACAGACATAACTGTAATCTCCTCGAAAATTAGAAACTGCAGGTCTCTAGAGTTGTTGGCAGTTGTGAGTGCCTGGATAATATTTCTGCTTGAAACATTCGATGTTGCCTCAAATGTTACGTCAAAGTTTGTCACCAAACTTCCTGAGGAAAATCCAAGGAAACTGATTGCAAGAAAGTCAGGGAACATCTTCATGAAGAAAGGCTGGAATATATTGGTGAGCTCTAAGATAAGAGCACGCGTGTTAGGTTTGGTTAAAACGGCAAGGTCGGAGATATACTGTCTGTTTCTCAGCTTGGTTGTTACTGAAAACGTGATTGGTGGCTTCTCTGAAAATGGGAAACACAACAAGACAATTATCTTGCTCCAATAAATGTCTGGGTGATGAACTTCAGAAAACAGAGAACACATTACTGACAAGCTGAAGGTACTGCATTAAACTTATTTGGTACTTTTTTGGCCCTGATGTGAGGAACTGTATGACGCGAAACTGAACAATTATTTTTAAGTTATTATTTTGAATAAAGAATCAAAGGTAAGGAGACCTCCTATACTGAAAATGTTACCGAGAATCAAGGCAATTTAGGCAAGGCAATTCGTTGTCATTAAGTAATCACTCTGTAAAGTTTTACTTAATTTCGAGTTGATATATGAAGGTAGCGTGAGTAAGATTCATATTAAATGACATTAGCCAGAATTGTTGCTTTAACTGGACTTACTTGATTCACATCTTGTTCCTTCGTAGGCTGAGACGCAGTTGCATGTAAAGGAAATTCCTTGTTTGATACAAGTCCCATTATTTTTACAAGGATTAGGTGAACACGTATCAGCACCTGTACAGAAAAAGGTTAGCTTGTTAAGGCTTAATAGCTAACAACGTCAAATTTATCTAGTACTTATTGTTAGAGCTTTAAGGACAGTTTGTTTATAGTTGAAACCCGGGAGAGTGCTTTTCGAGGTGGAGATGGGGGGTGAGCAGGGATCGTTTCTACAATTAATTAGTGGTGTCGGGTACAGACAGCACTCTGCAAAAATAAAATGATGCAGGCTGTTTTTAACTGAAACATAGTACCAGTCTTGTGTCTCAGTACTTGCATGAACATCTCGTCTTTACAAGCTTTGCATGTGTAACAAAATACATACTTTATATTCTCTTTAGGGACTCCGCAATAATAGGCCCTCAAAACCTAGAACCCTGCGTATTCGCTGTGGCAATCTTATACATGCCCACGGACTGAGTAGCCTGTGTCACAGGGGTCGAATGGATTGTTTGTGGATGGCCCAAGTAAGATTGTATCACTATTATGTATGTCTAGGAATAGGTTAATGTTATGAAAATAGTTTAAGATTAAAAGGTTTTCTAAGATAACCTAATGAGACTATTGGATGAGGTGACTCGCCTTACCCACTTCGCAGTTGATTCCGAAAAAGCCACTGTTACAGAAACAAATGTAGCCATCTACACGGTCACTACAATTTCCATTGCCTGAACAACTAACACCAATACAGTCGTTAATGTCTGTAAAACAATAGAACAGATTGAAATATGTCGAATGATGTACAAGCATCCTTGACGTAACTACTAATCTGATACTGAAATATGACAATCAACTATTCTCCTCTCATACCCCCCCCCCCCCCCCCCCCCCGTTCCCATCTTTCATGTGTGATTCTTCTGTGGTATAGCGCCACCCTCGCTCTGTGATATCCATGTTCTTATTTATTTTTTTACTCACTCTCGATCTTCTCGGCGCACATAGTTATAATTTCCCCCCCCCCCCCCCCCCCCCGTGCATTCATGATCTCATGATCTTAGTTTGGGTTGTGTTATGCCACCATCAGTGGTGGTAATTTACGTTCTCGTTTAATTTTGCCCATTCCTCTTGGCCCTTCGAGCCAACTACAATTCGTCACATGTCCAGACAATAGGAGAATCGTCACTCCTTTCAATGGGGTGTGGTCAGTTGGTGGCCAACCAAACTGCCACATGGCATTTGAAAGCAATTTTTGGAAAGGTCAATAATTAATTAACAAACGAGGGTCTCAATGTATATCGTCAGCCGTCGAAAAGATAATTTTTTTACCGTCAACCTTTAAAAATGCACATTAATATTAACCGCCCAAAAATTTCAAGGTATCTCAAATCTCACCTACTTCAGCTGATCTTCACGGACGTCTGGCTCCTGAAGAGCCTTTTAGCTGGAAAAACCAGTTTCCATGTTCTCAAAAACACTCTCTTAAGACATTAAAAGACCTTACAACTTGCTTACATTTGAAAATGTTTCTAAATTTTAAGGGTGAAAGACCAAGTCAACCTCCAAAACACAATAGTTAATATTAATTAATACAGAAATTAACGCTTACTTAAACTCTTGGATTCAATTTCTACTTAATAACAGTCAACCGTCAAAAGGTCTAAAATTTAATCGTCAAACGTCATAATTGGCAAAAAAAATAACCGTCAATCGTCAAAGCTACCACCCCGTTAAAAACGTCAGAAACCCCTGGAAATAAGAAAATCTATAAAATACGTACCGGTAGAACAATTACTTCCGGTAAATCCTGCTGGACACGATTGGTTTGCCTCTGAAACTATAAATAGCACTGATGTGATTGAAAAACCTGGTACCAGTGAGTGAGGCTGCCTCTGACAGCAACACACAAATGAAGAGTCACTTTATGTAGTTCCATCAAAGATAAACAGTTCGAAATTCTTTTCGGCTGCCATCAAAGGTAACTAGCTACGTTATTTGGAGAGTGGCCTTTACCACTGTCTGCAAGTTTATTTATTTTGCTCATAAGCAAAAAAGAACAATAAAATTTCATTGGTAATTATGTATTTGGCAATAGAGCGCTTTCAGTCACGTGGCCAACATGTGGGCAAATTTGTTGAAGCAAAAGAAAGTGTTGACATAAGCAAAAGGTAAAAGGTTCGACTTCTACTGAATTGGTTTGGAGTACCAACATGGCCGGCGTTTTATTGTCAGGGACACCAATATGGCCGCCGTTACGTCATATGAAAGCGCTTTATAAGCACAAAAAGGACTGTCCGTAGTCCGTGTCTGTGTATGTAAATATAGTTAAGAAACTCAGCATGGTTAGTGAATAAAGTCGTAACGTAGTTAAGAACCAAGACTACTGAAAACTAAATGAAACTAAGTGAATTGACAGCAAAACTACGGTTAACACTGAATTAAAAACAAAAACCGGAGAAAGAGATATGCAAAAAACTTAATGGCACATAAACAAATAAACATATGCAAACTAAAAGAAATAAACAAATAAGTAACTAACTAGGACTTAAGGGGTAGATTTGTCATGTGTACCAATTATCGTACCTCTGAACATGACTTGAAGACAGAATGCCGTAACCAAATACTTTGTCGCAAACCGTTTGTTGAAATCTACCATGTTTCCGGAATGTCATTCACAAGACTCATTCATGACTCTTTGAAGAAATCTTGCTTGTCAGCTTAAAAGATAAAAATCTAACTGTACTTAATCAGACATAAACAGCACTTGATGAAAAATTTAAGTAAAGAATTTCTCAGTGGTACGTTTTAAAGAAGTTTGTTTGTCTATGGTAAGTGGAAGCGTGCTCAATCAAATTATATCAGCATATGAATAACTAGAATTTCTATTACTGTGCGTCTTTTCCGGGGAAATACGTATCGTTTATCTATTTCTTATATCTATTATAGATATGTTCTTTAGGTGAAGAGATTGGTAGATCAGACACAAATACCTGACAGAGTTACAAATCACTCGAATCAGTTTCGGATGGAATGTGCAAGATCGGTACCATTTCCTGTTTGGGCCCGTAGCTCCAGTGTTCCTTTTTCTCTAGAGAGAAGTCGCTCACTTTCATTCAGTATTTGCAACGAAGAATTTCAGTTATTTTAGTAGGCGAGCTTCTTGAACGTCTCCTAAGTAGCTAACGTTCCACTTGATAAATGAAGTGTGAAAATATTTCTTAAAAGTAAGTTAAAAGAGTTAATACTGTCAAAATTGTAGAGCGTATGGGCAAATTTTAGCCACAAAAAATGCCATGAGATGGGGGAAAAAAGTACGGTGAGTACTGAATTCTCATGCGTTAATGGCCAATCACGATAAAAAAGAAGAACATTCGAGCAACGTGTGTATTGCACTTAGTAAAAAACAGCCGGATTACAAAGGACATGACGCTTTGGGTCAACAATTTTATCCTTATGTGATGTAAAATTGCCTCTTTTGTCAGGTTTAAAGGAAAGATAGGCCTGTATTTCAGGTAATAAGAAATAAGTTGATGAAATTACTCAGTGATGTGCCTTGTCGTTTCATTCTAAATAGTCCATTACCGGCGGTTTATTTTTTTACCGATCCGTATCTAGGGAGAAATTAATTAATGTCTGTTATTTTGGTAAAGAGTCTCATCAAAATGTTAATATAATCTTTAATACAGAAAGCCACACACGAGCAGATTAATTCAAAAACACAAAAGAATTTGATTTGTCAGAGACAATATGTCAACTAAAACCAAGCGATTGCCCATAGTCAACTCTTCAAAGTCAGATCAAAACAGATCGATCAGCTTAAACTCTTATTTAGTAAAGCTCAATGGCCTGGAATATAAGGGCACCGAAGACAACCCTCCAGAACCGAATGCTCTAAGGCCAGGACTGTTTACATTTGATATTCTTCAACTAGATATAAATTATTTAAATTTCATTAAAACTGACTATGAGATCTCACGCAAAAAACTTCATCAGTTCCATATTTATCAATCTGTGACTGTCAAATGACCCACTGCTTTACTCCTGTTCGTAGACATGTTAGGGTTACTATCTGATTCAATAACAGATATTTAGAGCAAAGATATTTTGATTATGTACAAACAGCATATCATTATATTCTAGTTTATTCTTTAGCTCAGTGATCTGCTTAGAGATCTCAATTGTCTCAAAACAAAGCCTTTACTTAACAAAGCCTTTCTTATGGTTCGGCGTTCAAAGGGATGTTAATCATGTAAAGCGTGAACTTGGCGGGTTTTAAATGATAAATATAAAGATTTAAATATTCATAATTTAGCAGCAAACGACTTTTTTCAACATGTCTTGAGTTATATCTTCCTTCATTGCGGTAATTTTCATCAGTTGCATTAGGAAAAACAAGATAATTAGTTAAGTGAATTTCCTCGATATTTTGCGTAATAGTGTGCTAGCACACTTTCTGACTACAATTTTTTTTTTTGCTTTAAGATTGTGATGTATTGGTAAACAAACAGAAATGTTTCCTATATCGAGTGTATTGAAGTTTGAAGGTTAATGAAAAGTTCCTCAAGGAACTGGGGTAGGGGAGTGAAAAATGGGTTTATTAACTGAATTGATAAAGTCATTTTACCACATTTAAGAGATTATTAAACCTAAAGTTGAAGATTGCTAAGAGCGATGAGTAGACCCACATTTTTCTCAGGCTTGGCCCAAGCGAGCGAAATGCACGAGCATTCGTGAAAATGAGACCAGCGAGGAATGGAAAAATTTCTTCCTTTCCCCGGTGTCTCGCTTCACCCCACGCGTGGCAATTTTTACGCGCTCTCGATCATTTCGCTTTCTCAACTATCCCTATGGATAATAAGGGACAAAATACTGGGGTGGTCGTCAAGATGCTTGAATCTCTCTGTCAATTTCATTGTTAGGCCACATCAGTATGTTTGTATCCTATATTTATTTAACAAGCATTTTACAAATTACAGTTATAAAAAGACTACAACGCCTCCGTTTTTACAAAGATAATTTTTTGCCTTTTGTTACTCGCAAAATAATGCTAGAATTCATAAGATTAACATTCCCGATAGCAAGAAATTAAAGAATAATCACTCATATTATTTCCTAAGTCTAGGTAATACAATTCCTATGATGTTCTAGATTCAAATTACTAGAGAGGTCGAATAAGTTTATAAGCAGTTTCCAATATTGTCAAACTCAGAAGCTTTGTAGAGTATATAACTCAATGTATATAGAGAAAAAATTCCACTTCAATCTTTTATAGGAAAATGGAAAATGGTAACAAAATAGAGAACAGGAAACGGGGTTACTAATAGGGCTAGGGATAAAGTTTAGATTTGTTCCCATTGTTTCATTTTCCCATAATAGCCATAGAAGTAGTTCCCGTTCCCTTTTCTTTTGTAGTAACATCCATCGTTCCAGTTTGTTTCTGGCGATTAATTCATTCATGTTTCACATCAACTTAACGAGTCAGTAAACCGTTATCCGTTAAAGGGATTGTTTGTTGCCTTTTTTTGCCTTAGTCAAATGGAAACTATACGCAGTGTTAATCAACCAGCTTCCAGGATGAACGCATCTAGACGGGAAAGGATGGTTAATGGAGAGCTTATCATGGCAGCCTTCATCTCAGTGTGAATGGGCCAGTTCACAGTGGGGTATCTTCAGCAAAATGTGCCTCTGTGATTGCTTCGTTCGTCTTCCACATAGCAGTCTGTAAATATGAAAACGAACTTGGTAAATTGCCAATTTTTACGGTAAGTAAAGTAAGACTGGCAACAGATAGAGGGAAGGAAGTTATCATCTCAGATGTAGAGCAAAGCCAGAGTAGAATGGAGAAAGTTTTCCAAGCACCAGGCACACATGGCTTAGAGAAGAATGACTGCAGTCTTGAACTTTAGAATAGATGGGACACTAAGAGGAAGCCATGCAGTACAGAGATTGATCTCATCCGCTGTGTTATATGTACGCTTCGTTGATAAAGGAATCCTCGACTCGTCCGTTTCTCGCAGGCAAAGAAGTCTGTAAAGAGCAAAAAGGAACATGACAACCTAAGCTATCACCCTATGAGGTAACAAGGGGTTCTTCCAGCTCATAAGCTGGTGACATTTGAAAAATCCAGCAAGCTTTGGTTGTCTGTTTAAGATAAAGGCGACAAGCTTCTATTTTCCATACTCTTATAGACCATAAAAATAACGTCATAATGTCAGGACATTCAACAGTGACCATGAACTTCGCACGAGTACACTCAGCTTTGAAAAGTTTGATCTGCACCAGATAATTTACCAGAAGGATCTCCAATGCCGAGTCATATAATAAGATTACTGCCTGATTTCCGCACGGCTCTAATAAGTTGTATGCTTAAGGGACAGTGGTATGGAAACAGCTTTATCCTTGTTTTTTGACGAATTAAGATTCAATTTACGTAATAGCTGAGGCAACAACACGTAACGGCCACGGACAGCAGAACTTTCACTGCCAAAGTCAGCTATAAAAAACCCATGCTGTGTATAATTAAATGACATCTCTATTGCAGTACTTTCTAGTGACATTTACGTCCTCTCCGTCCATAAAAGCGCAATTAAGTAACATGGCTTTTAACCAACCATCTTGGCCGAACAAGCGTGATCAATAAACCGTATATACTTCGCAGAATACAAAGTAAGCAATTACAGTATAGCAGGAAATTAATCAAAAAAGCAATAGCACAGAACTATGAAGTAATAGACCGCTTAGATTACTTACTACCTACATCCCCTTGTTTTCCTGAGAGGTAGTATATACAATACTGATGTCTCCCACAAGGAAGCACAGGATTATTTTACCCCTTCCGTCTGCCCGTCGTCCATTGCTTGTGAGTGGCGAACTTTACAGGCGCTTTGGTATT